CGAAACGCAACGCTTGGGAACCGACGGAAGACAGTGTATTCCATAGTTCTGGTGGCTAACACCGCGTGACGAGCAAGGGCACTGGGCAGTTTCGCAGAGTCTGTCAAATCCACGAAAAAATGAATTTGAAACAACTTCTTCAGACACCTTTTTGCATCTGGCCGACGGCCTTGGCCTTTCCCTCGAAGAATGAATGTTTGGAGATCAGCGTGGAACTCCGAAAGTTTGTGTTTGTGCCGTTTGCTTTTCTCCGGATGCTTGTTCGTTTTCTTTTTGGCTGGACGGCCCCGCGGAAGGAAATACAGGTGGACGCAGCGGTCGCATATGCTTGCCGTCGACCCTCGATCGGCCGCTCTTTCTTTTCTTTGAAGGCGTAGGGTAGGTTCGTGCCGTGTCGACGCGGCTCCGACCCCGCCGCGGGCGTTCAAGGACGAACGCCTCTGGTGGTCCAGAATCGATGTGGAACGATCTGACGATCTGACGTCCGCCGATCGGTCCAGGTTGAACGATGCACGCGGCGTCAGAAGCCCGTTTCGAAGGCGACACGACACGACCCTGCCGCGCATCCAGCCGAAGTCCTGTTTTTCGGCGGCTAGCGCAGGGGGGAAGTGAGAAGGGGCGGGCCTTCTCGGGAGGCTCGGAAGGCCTCTCGCCTTCCGAGGAGTTCTCTAAGCCTTCTGCGTAGATGCAGAGCACTTCTCAGAAGGCCGCAGGGCTTCCCCACTGGGCACTCCGCCCACTCTTCCCTCCGCGCCAGAGGTGAAGAAGCTGGGCCGTCAGTGCTGCAGCAAGGTCAAGTCCAAGGTGCTGAAGCGGACCGTGGCGGCAGAGGCCGCCGCTGCTCTTGGCGGCGGGCGGCTCCTGTGGGCGCGGAGACCGCGCCCCACTGCGCTCGTCCGCGGACGACATGTGTGCACCGTATCGCCTGGGCGCCTCTCGAGGTGTCGTCGATCCTCGACCCAGGAAAGGTATACGGGGCACAGCTTTTCGGCCCCCAGGGCCGAAGAGCTGTGCGACGTACCCCGCTGCAGCAGGGCCTGAAGGGAGTCTGGACATGGTGCGTCGCATGGGCGCCGTTCTCGTAGCTCGCGCAGGGTGGCAGGGAGGAGGACCGGGAGGAAGACGAGGGGATAGTCGGAGGAGAAACACGTATCGATACCGCCGCCGTTCCTTCGTTTTCGCTTTCTTGGGGCCTTCTGGGAGGCCCTCGTCGCCACCGCTTGATTCGCTTCGCAGTTTTAGTCAGAACGCACCCGGGAAGAGGTCCGGGGAGTAGCGGTCTCGGTACTTTTTTACCTCCCCAGAGGATGAATGAAAATTTGGTGGACGACGACGACGACGACGACGACGACGACGACGAGGAAGGTGCTGAGGCGGACCGCGACGGCGGAGGTCGATGCTCCAGCGACCAGCGGCTCCTGTGAGAGTGGAGGCCGCGCCAGCTGCGCTCGTGCATCGTTCGCCATGCAGGAATGGGTCCTGAGGCTTTGCCCCGTCTTCGAGCTCTCGGAGCCCTCCCTGGGCCTTGCGAGTGTAACAAAGACAAACGGCTCAGGATGAAGAACGGGGCCCGGACTGAAGCATCAGACGCTGCGAACTGGCTCACCCCAGGTACTGTCGATCCCCCTCCTCCCCCTCCGTTCTCCCTCCTCCGTCCTCCCTAGGTCAACGGCAGACCAGGCAGGGCGCCAGACTCCGGACGCCAGGGTCCCCCAACAAAACCTGTGTTCGGCACGACCTGCAGCGGTACCGGTGACTGGCTCTTGTGATGCCCAGCTGCCTGGGGACCTTTCACTCCAGATGGAAGCGTCAATTCGTTCAGTCCTCCCCACTTTCTTCCTCCTTCTCCTCCTGCTCCTTCTCCTTCTCCTGACTCTTCAACTCCTCCTCTCTTCTCCTCCTCCTCCTCCTCCTCCTCCTCCTCCTCCTCCTCTCCCCATCTCTTTCCCTCTGCTTTTTTTTATCCTTCTCCTCCTCCGCCTCCCCCCCACCTCGTTCTTTCTTCTCCTTTCCTCCGCATCCTTCCCTCGCCTCTCCCCTCTCCTCTCCTCATTTCCCCTTCCCTTCCCTGATCTGCCCTCTCCCCTCCCCCTTCTTTCCCTCCACTCCTGTGGCCGCGGAGGCCGTTCAGCAGTGGGCCTCAAAGATCAAGGGCTTCGAGGCCGACGTCGACGCCATCCGCCAGGACGAGAGCCTCGAGCGCGAGCTCAGGCTAGTTTTGTCGTTTGATGACTTTATCCTTTCTGTTTTGTTTGTTGTGTTTCCCCTGTATCGCTCTCTCTCTCTCTCTCTTTCAATCTCTCTCTCTCTCTCTCCCATTCTTTTGTCTTTTAGTATTGTTTGAATTCCTGTTTTTGTTTATGTTTTCTCTCGCTCTCTCTCCCTCCCTCGGAACGTTGGATATTGTTGATCCCCCCTAGCCCGTGCCCGCTTTGTTTATTTCATTCCGATAGCTCCCCTGGGACGCTCGCACCAGGCTGTGTCAGGAATCGCTTTTCCTGATCAGATGTGTTGTTGACCCCATTGGGCTACAGCAGCAGCAGCAGCAGCAGCAGCAGCAGTTTGGAATGGCACCCGTGCAATTAACTCAGGATCGCGCTCTTGCCTGGGACGTCCTCGCAATCTACTCAGGCGCCGCGTTGCCGGCACTTAGGATCGCGCCCTCGCCCGTACCCCCCCTCCCCAATTGACTTAGGAATCTTGCTCTCGCAGTTAAGGAACTGCACTCTCGTCCAGGACTTCTCAGCACTTTGGCAAGGAATCGCGCTCTCTCCCGAGACTTCAAAATATTGACGGAGGAATCGCGCTCTCACGTCCTGCCAGGGTCCGCCCGCTTGGCCTGCCTGTTGGGGTCGCTCGCCTGTTGAACTGTCCCGCCAGGCCGATCTAAAAGTTATGTCCGCCCGTCCTTTCCTATTGCTAGGGTCCGCCCGCCCGATCCGCTTATCAGTGCACGCCCGCCCGTCAACACATGTTGCGCAATACATGTTGTGCAGTCCATGTGGTACACTCTATGTCTTGCAAGCCTTGCTGTACAATCTACGCGGTGCAAATTATGTGATGCGCAATCTGTGCGATGCAATCGACAGGGTGCAATCAATGTTGTACAATCCATGTTGTGCAACCTATCTGGTGCAATTGATTTTAACAACGAGTTGACACATTCCATGCTCTTGCAAACATCCCACCCACCCGCACGCAACTTGGTTGGAAAACTCATGCGGCGGCGATTGCGATGAGTGCTTGGCGTTGGCTGGTGCATCTCTGCGGCCGCGCCAACCCAAGCACGCGCGCGCAAAGGCCAACTAGTTTGGCGCGACCGACGTGTCCGCGGTGGCGCTGACCGCTGGGCACACCCCAGCGGGCACTTCAGTGCGAGTCGGCGACTTGGGCGGGCTCGGTATCATGGGAACGTCGACGCGATGATGATAGTAGCGGTGCTGGTGGCCATGTTGATTACGACGACGGCGCGGCCAGTGACGGTGCCGAGGTTGATTACGCCGACGATGATGACGGCGTCTTCGCGTCGGTGATGCAGGTTTTGGAAAGAGTTCGACATGCGCGCGCGGCCGACGCGCGACAGTGGCCCGCGTGGTATTATTTGACACCGATCGTGCCCCCCCCCAGAACGCGCGCAAAGCGGGCGAGAAGTCCGTTTGGCAGAATTGCATGAACATGTTGAACAATCTATGGTTTTCTTAAGAATTCGCAAGGAAGCGAGCGATGTTTTTTGAACACAGATGTTGCCAAATCTTTTTTGTTTGTTTGTTTTGGATACCGCTACGAAGCCGCAAGTTGTTGACGGATTTCGGCGTGCGCGCGACGACGCGCACGTGTGCACTTCGTTTTTTTGCTAACGATCCTCGCGACAGCAGGCGTGCAAACGGTGTTCGACATGCGCGCGCGCGAAGCCCGGTTGGTAGCCTGACAGGATGAAAAACCATTCAGCGTACAATGAAGAGTTCGCATGAGCGCGCGAATTTTTTCTTTGAAAACCCGTGTTGCGACACTTTGTCAAAAAACCCAATAACCTACGAAACCGAAGGTTTGAAAGCATTTCGGCATGCGCGCGTGACGACGCGCGTTTGCACTTCGTCATTTTTCGCAAGGGGTTCTTGAAACCTGACGTTTTTTGATCAACGAGCGTGCGTGCATAGTATTTGTTGCAGAGGATGGCGGGGGGGGGGGGCCGATACCGGCCCCGTCCGGGATGGTGCGACGTAAAAGCCGAATTGATCATCGGGGGGAAAACGATGGTTTTTTAAGAAGAGAGAATGAGTGTAAAGCAATCGGTTTTGCGTAATCTGTGTACATGTGTACACCATTATATATAGTCAACAAATCGGAGTAGGCCGGGGGAGGGCCCGGAACGGTACCACTCGTTTGCATTGGGGTCCGGGGGCCTCAAGACGGCCTGAAGAGAGTTTCGAGTAGAAGAGATCTCCAAGACGGACCAAGAGGGCCCCCAGGGGCCCCGAGGGGGCCACCAGAGGATCCTTACATTTTCGAAGAGAGCCCCAAGAGGGCCCCAAGACGGGATCAGTTCCTCATGACGTGCCCAGGGGGACCTGGGACAGCCGAAATGGGTCCACGGACGGGCACACAAGGCAAGAACAATTTCCTTGAAGACGGTCCAAGAGGCCAGCCGCCGAGAAGACCCACCAAGGGCAACAAAAACAGCATGTCCCAGAAAAGAGCGAATTTTCCAGGATCGTGTTCGCTTCTTTTGTCCTAACAGCGGTCGCGTTGGCCCCAAAGGCTTTCTCAGTCGGCCCCAGACGGCCCAGGAGGCCCCCAAGAGGGCCCCAAGACGGCCTGAAGAGAGTTTCAAGCGGCACAAGAGAGCTCCAAACCAGCCCAAAATAGGCCCCATGGGGCCCTAGACGGGCTCAGCTCCCCATGACGTGCCAAGAGTGACCCGGGACGGCCGAAATGGGCCCCCAGACGGGCCAAGAATGGGCCAAAAGGATGCATCTGAGACGTGGCCCCATAGGGAGCTCCACCGAAGGCCTCAGTGCCACCGCCCGCATGCGTCACGCACACCTATTTCGGCACACCTCTCACACGTTTCGTGGCCCCACAGGGAGCTCCACCGACGGCCCCAGTGCCACCGCCCGCATGCGTCACGCACACCCATGTCGGCACACCCCTCACACGTTTCGTGGCCTAACAGGGAGCTCCACCGAAGGCCCCAGTGCCACCGCCCGCATGCGTCACGCACACCCGTTTCGGCACACCCCTTACACGTTTCGTGGCCCCATTGGGAGCTCCACTGAAGGCCCCAGTGCCACCGCCCGCATGCGTCACGCACACCTATTTCGGCACACCCCTCACACGTTTCGTGGCCTAACAGGGAGCTCCACCGAAGGCCCCAGTGCCACCGCCCGCATGCGTCACACATATTTCGGCACACCCCTCACACGTTTCGTGGCCCCACCAGGGATCTCCACCGAAGTCCCCAGTACCACCGCCCGCATGCGTCCACCACCCCATTTTGGCACGCCCCTCACACGTTTCGTGGCCCCATTGGGAGCTCCACCGAAGGCCCCAGTGCCACCGCCCGCATGCGTCACGCACACCCGTTTCGGCACACCCCTTACACGTTTCGTGGCCCCATTGGGAGCTCCACTGAAGGCCCCAGTGCCACCGCCCGCATGCGTCACGCACACCTATTTCGGCACACCCCTCACACGTTTCGTGGCCCCACTAGGAGCTCCACCGAAGGCCCCAGTGCCACCGCCCGCATGCGTCACACATATTTCGGCACACCCCTCACACGTTTCGTGGCCCCACCAGGATCTCCACCGAAGTCCCCAGTACCACCGCCCGCATGCGTCACGCACACCCGTTTTGGCACGCCCCTTACACGTTTCGTGGCCCCACCAGGAGCTCCACCGAAGGCCCCAGTGCCACCGCCCGCATGCGTCACGCACACATATTTCGGCACACCCCTCACACGTTTCGTGGCCTCACAGGGAGCTCCACCGACGGCCCCAGTGCCACCGCCCGCATGCGTCACACACATTTCGGCACACCCCTCACACGTTTCGTGGCCCCATTGGGAGCTCCACCGAAGTCCCCAGTACCACCGCCCGCATGCGTCACGCACACCCATGTCGGCACACCCCTCACACGTTTCGTGACCTAACAGGAAGCTCCACCGAAGGCCCCAGTGCCACCGCCCGCATGCGTCACGCACACCCGTTTCGGCACACCCCTCACACGTTTCGTGGCCTAACAGGGAGCTCCACCGAAGGCCCCAGTGCCACCGCCCGCATGCGTCATGCACGCCCATTTCGGCACACCCCTTACACGTTTCGTGGCCCCATGGGAAGCTCCACCGAAGGCCCCAGTGCCACCGCCCGCATGCGTCACGCACACCTATTTCGGCAAACCTTACACGTTTCGAGGCCTAACAGGGAGCTCCACCGAAGGCCCCACTGTCCCCGCACGCGTCACGCACACCCGTTTCGGCACACCTCTCACACGTTTCGTGGCCCCATAGGGAGCTCCACCGAAGGCGCCAGTGGCTGCGTTCGCATGCGCCCACCGCTCCCATTTCCGCACACCCGTCACACGTTTCGCGGCACCATAGGGAGCTCCAACGACGGCCTCACTGGCTGCGTTCGCATGCGCCCACTGCACCTATTTCGGCACACCACTCACGCGTTTCGTGGCCCCATGGGGAATTCCATAGACGGTCCCAGTGGCTGCTTCGCATGCCCCCACAGGACAAATTTTGGCACACCCCTCACGTGTTTCGTGGTCCTATAGGGAGCTCCTCCGAATGCGGTGCATACAACGACGGTGCTCACAACTGCATATGGTTGTGTCCTTGGCCAGGCTAATTTTTACGTGTCTATTCTTTCCTAGTTTTGTAACTATTTGTGTCTATCCCTTCGTGTCGATTTTTGGGAGCGCCTGTCTACTTTCCCGCGATCCCTCCGCATTGCGGAGCCATTGTTTGGCGCATGTGTACATGTAACATGTATGCATGCATGGCGCGCTCCTCGGCATTTTTCCACACTCCATCGCACGTCCCAGTGCTTGTTCCCACTCCGAAGGATTCTTCCCCACTCCATCGCACGCCTCGGCGCTCCACCCAACTCCCCCGACTTCCCCCTTCTCCATCATAACCTCGGCATTCCTGCGAACTCCTTCCCAATCCACTCCTCGGCTCTCCTCGCTACTCCGGACTCCTCGTTCCATCTCGCTCGTCGGCAGTCTTCCCGATTCTTGCCCTTTTCTCTCCACTATCTCGCACTCCCCAGCGACCGCCGCATTCCTCCAGACTCCAGCCCACCCCGTCGCACTCCACGGCGCTTCACGCCACCCCTCTCCAGTCCACCGCGCTCCTCGCCGCTCCTCCTGATCTGCATCGCACTCCTCGGCATTCCTTCTCACTCCTCCAGTCCCCCCCGCACTCCATCGCACTCCGCGGCGCTCCTCCAAACTCTCCCCTTCGCAATCCTCGGCGCTTCTTCCCCTGTACTCCCCTATACCATGGGATCCCTCACAAATAGGTGTGCATGTGTACAAGACTACGTGTATGTTTCTGTGCACGTACGTGGGTTTATATACACATGCAGACACACCCGCAAGCGTGTCTATCATTCGTTGTCTTTTTGCGCGAGCCCGTGCCCGGCTATGTGTTCGTGTGTCTATTCGTGTCGAATTCGTGCCCATTCAGTACGTGTGACTATTTTCGTGTCCATTATGAACGTTCGTGTCTATGTTTGATACAATTCCGTGCCTAATTTTTCAATCGATTCGTGTCTATTCTGAAAACTCACACTTCGTGCCCATTTCCATTTCTTTTTCGCCTGTGTTTTTACAGTGTGCGCTGCACGAAGAAATAGACATGAAACCTTGTAGAAACTGAGCAACCCTTTGATGGAAAACGTTCAGAAGATAGACACCGCCTCTTGTAGGCTAGGGTCAAAGAAGACCCCCTGGGTCTTGGTTCTAGTTCTGGTTCGTCTTCCCTTTTTCAGGCCTCGAAGAAGACCCCCCAGGTCTTGGTTCTGGTTCTGATTCCGGTTCCAGTTCCCGTTTCCTTCTTCTTCCGACCCCGAAGAAGACCCCCCAAGTCACGGTTTTGGTTTTGGCTTTGGTATTGGTTTCGGTTTCCTTCTTTTCTCTGGTCTCGAGAAAGACCCCCTGGTTCACGGGTTTGGTTCCCGTTCCAGTTCTGATTATTTTTTTCTTCAGGGCTCGAAGAAGACTTCTCAGGTCACGGTTTTGGTTCTGGTTGCGGTTCCAGTTTTGGTTTCCTTCTTTTCAGGCTTCGGAGAAAACCCCTCGTTATCAAGCGCCTTGCCGCTTGTGTATTCAAGAGGAAGGCGATCAGAGAAAAGGTGCCGCCCAGCCTGCTGAGGAGGAGGAGGAGGAGGAGGAGGAGGAGGAAAGGGAGTCTGGCGAAAAATACGGTTTCAGTTCCGGTTCTGGTTCCGGTTCTGGTTTCTTTTTTTCTTCTGGCCCCGAAGAGGACCCTTTTTGGTCACGGTTTTGGTTTCGGCTTTGGTTCTGGTCCGGTTTTCTTCTGTTTTCGGGATGCGGAAGAAGAGTCTCCAAGTTACGGTTATTGTTTTGATTTTGGTTATGGTTCTGGGTTTGGGTGTCTTTCTTCTTTTTTGGTCGGTCACAGTCGGCCAGGTTTTGGTTCCGGTTTTGGTTCTGGTCCTGGTTTCTTTTTTCTTCCAGCCTCGAAGAAGACCCCCCAGGTCAGGGTTTTGGTTCCGGCTCCGGTTTCCTTCTATTCCGGTCCTGAAGAAGACCCCCCATGTCACAGTTTTGGTTCCGGTTTTGGTTCCGGTTCCGGTATTCTTCTTCAGGCTTCGAAGAAGACCCCCCTGGTCACGGTTCTGGTTTCAGTTCCGGTTCGGCTTCCGCTTTTCTTCCTTTGGCCTCGAATCACGGTTCTGGTTCCGGTTCTGGTTCCAGTCCCGGTTTCCTTCTTCTTCCGGCCCCGCAGAAGAGCCCCCATGTCACGGTTTTGGTTTCGGTTTTGGTTCCGGTTCTGGTTTCTTTCTTCTTCGGGATGTGGAAACGGGATCTCCAGGTCACGGTTCTGGTTTTGGTTTTTGTTATGATTTTGGTTCCTGTTTCTTTCCTCTTCCGGTCGGTCACAGACGGCCAGGCCAGTTTTTGTTTTGGTTTTGGTTCCGTTGTTTTTTCTTCTGACCTCGAAGAAAACCTCCAGGTCACGGTTCTGGTTCTGGTTCCGGTTTGGGATCCGGTTTTTTCTCCTTCAGGTTTTGAAAGAGACCTCCAATTCACGGTTCCACTTCTGGTTTTGGTTTTGGTTTTGGTTCCGTTTTTTTTTTCTTCTTCTTCGGTTCCATTATTCTTCGCGATTGTGGTTCTGGTTCTGGTTCTGGTTCCAGTTCCGTTTTTTTTTCGGGCGCTCTTTGGTTTCGGTTTCGGTTCCGGTTTTCGTTCCGGTTCCGGTTCTGGTTCTGGTCTTGTTTTTTTTTCCCCCTGCCGAAGAAGACCCCCGAAACCACCACACCCACACTCTCTTCCCCCGTCTCCCGCTCTCTCTGCACGCTGTGCTGCGCAAAACGCTCGACAACGTCCTCCCTGCCCCTTCTCTTCTCCTGCTGCTAGCTCCTCCCTCCCCCTCTCCCTCGTCTCATCTCATCTCATCTCATCTCATCTCATCTCATCTCATCTCATCTCATCTCATCTCAATTCGTCTCATATCATCATCTCATCTCATCTCATCTCATATCATTGCATCTCATATCATCTCATCTCAACTCATCTCATCTCGTCTCATATCATCTCATCCCAGTTCATCTCATCTCATCTCATCTCATCTCATCTCATCTCATCTCATCTCATATCATCTCACATCATCTCATCTCATATCATCTCATCTCATCTCATATCACTTCATCTCATCTCACATCAGCTCATCCCATCTCATCTCATCTCAAATCAGCTCATCTCATCTCATCTCATTTCATCCCATCTCGTCTCATCTCATCTCATCTCATATCATCTCATCTCATCTCATCTCATATCACCTCATCTCATCGCATTGTATCGCATCGCAGCGCATTGCATTGCATCGCATCTCATTTCATCTCATCTGATATCATATCAATATCATCTCAATTCATCACATCTCATCTCATCTCCTTCTCCTTCTCCTCTTCCTCCTCCTCCTCTTCCCCTCCTCTTCCTCCTCCTCCCTTCCTTGTCCTTTTATATTGCTGCGGATGCTCGCTTCCTGGCACGAAGCGGCACGTTCGCCCCCCACCCCCCCAGGCTAGCGGACATGCTCTCGGACAAGTCCGAGAACATGCAGAGACACAAGGAGGAGATCCGCGCGCGGCCGGCGAAGACGTGGATCATGACCAACCGGGAGAAGAAGGACGTGAAGAAGGCCGAGTCTGAGCGAGCACAGGCGCCCGCCGCCCTCGGCGTAGTCGTGGTCCCGTGCCCGTCGCCGGTCGAGGTTCCAGGCTTGATCTTACTGTTCCTCCTGCCCCCCTCCTCCTCCTTTTTTCTCAGCGTTGGCCAATGTCGATTTGCGCACAGCCATGGCACACGGAAAATAAGACCAGCCCACTGCAACTGCTGCTACTGCTCATTGGCCTCCAATATCGTAGAAAGCAATACCTCCAGCCATCTCCAAACTCAGCACCTCCGCCAAAAATGAAGACTGTAATGTACTAAGAAGTTTGCCACCCATAACAGCGTTTCTCTGCAAGCGCCTGCCGAATATTAATATACTGCAACTCCCCCCGCTGCAAGCCCATCTCTTCCGCCCCGGAGAGCACCGTCAAAACTGAGATGTATATTTGCTTCATTGTATCTCGCTCGCGTTACTGCAAGCGCATCCTGTTTGACCCAATTTGTGCCCATGTCCAGCGCTACGTTTGCCGCGTGGTCGGCGGCGCAGTTGTACGCACGGTAATCCCACTCCACGAATCTTGTCGTGTTCAGGTGCGGCATGAAGCCCATGTACAACAGCCTCTGCAGCACGTTGCACACCTGGACGAAGATAGTGCGAAGCTCTGGAGAATCTACCGTTGCGTGGCCGTTCAAAATTGATTCCAACAACTGGTTATCTGTCTGTATCCACAACCTCCGGGAGCCTGCATTCCATACGAACTCTTTCTGGAACGGGGGACATGCCTGCACGTCGTCCACACCTCAGGTCAAGCGGATTTTCTTTACTGGAGGCCCGCTGGAAACGTCGTCTTGTTCTTCTCCGCATGACACTTCCCACTTAATACACAGCTGCTGGCTGAAATTGGCGAGGCGTGACATCCAAGCTGCCGAATCAGAGCATTCATTCAACTGCTCCCTCCAACCGTTCCCCACGCCTCCACGAACGGATGTTCCCACGACGTGGATTGATGGCCAGAACGGTCGCGGAAGCGTCCCAACTTGCGACGCTTGTGTTCGGACGTCAGTGCCAGCATTCCTTCCCACCACCGTGCGTTCCGGTATGACCTCAGACTCTGAAGAATTAAGTCGCAGGGACGGGCAGCAAACCGAGAGTCTTTGAATGCGGCCTTGAATACAGACTTGATGGCTCTTGAGCCATGAATGATATCCCCAACTTCCCCATCCATGATTCGATTCCCCGGGCAGTCTGCTCGTTGTATTTTGCAATTCCCATCTCCCGGTTTCCTCCGGAGCCGCAATTTTCCGCTACGTTTTCAATTCCCACCACTTCAACGCCCAAAGTAGGCCAGGAGAGATGTGCCAAGTACAACAGTTGCACAATGCAATCGAACATGTTGTTGTGCCACAACCTCAAACGCTTTGCGCACGAAAGGCCCGGGCCGCTGAGCGTGCTACGATGTTTGTAGTAATGCGACTCTGCCTTGCCAACGTTGCACGTCCGAGAGGCGAGAGAAACACCAGCTGGATCAAAGAGGACACCCAATACCGTTAAATGTTCGGCATCCGTACAAGTGGCGCTCACCATCGTGAGCGATCGACATGTCCTCAACGTCCGCTGCTGTCAAAGGTCCGCCGTACATGCGTTCAAGCGAACTAGGCTTCCACTTCAAATACCGATGGCCAGATGAGTCCGTGAACGCCGCGATGGCCGCGTCAACGTTGCTGATCAGGGCCTGCAGCATAGCGCAACTTGCGGCGAACAGTACAACGTTATCGAGCCAAATCGCATGGCTCAGGTGGCGCTCAAGAGAACCGTCGTCACCAGGCAAGACCAAACCGATACTTTGTAATTCCCATGTTTGGACTATCGGCTCCCAACAAAAATGTAGGATCGCGTTCCACTCGTTTGAGGTTTCAACTCCGCCTTGCTTTCCCCCGCCTCAGAGACTCCAGCAAGAGGTAAAGAAATCGTAGCACGCATTTGGTCGACCTCGTGCGTTAGCAAAGCCGTGTCCCATTTGCACACACCCTTCGCCAACAAAGACTTCATGATCAAGTGGTGTGGCATGGAATCGAAAGCCGTTGCGATGTCCTGTACCCTGATAGCCACAGGCAGTTTCCACGTGTTTGCGATGTAAAGAACCTCCCACTACTCCATTCAAGTCGGCCGTGGCCACATTCTTGCGGAATCCGTACGGGCTGACGCTAGACGGCAAGAGCTGGTTTCGGATTTTCGGGCGAAGTGTTCGAATGTATTGTTTATGCAGTATGGGCGATTTGTCTATCCACCTGAATTCTGGCAGACACCGTGCAATTTCGATTTTTGGGAAACCTATGAGTTGAAGGATCTTCCAATACGGCGAACTCTCAGCATTATCCAATGTACCGCTTAGATTGGCAGAATGTTCGTGAAGCCGGGCTATGCACAAAAACGGCAAAGCCTTGAATACGTCAGCCGGGTTCCCGTCAGCGCCAGCAGCTCCACCAGCTTTCGTACTTGCGACTGCTTGCAACGTATCCCAAAATTCTAGCGGTTTAGGCTTGGCCTCACGGTCTGCTAAAGATACCATCCCAGATAGTTGGGCAGCCTGTAGATGGAATGTATTCGAATCATCGCCAAACCGTTGCTGCCCGAAGGTGCACGCTGCTGCAAGCCACTCTGCCCAGTCATACGAAATTTGGCCATCAATGGTTAAAGATATCGGCACATACATGTCCTGAGCAGATGCCTTCTGAGTCACCTGCCGCCGTCTCAACGATCGCACTCCAGCCCAAATCGCCTTCATCAATAACTTTCGAATAGCAGTATCCGTTTCCACCCCGAGGCGAAATCTAAGCTGCCAGGGCCGTTGCTTGCATGCTGCCACTGGTTGGGCAATCAAGCGAGACTCCTATTCATAGTGCATCGAAGCGATCTCGAACAACACATTCTCGAAACAATACAAAGGTTGACTCAACAACTCTGGCCTCGCCATGCATTGCTGGAAAGATAATCGAACTTGTTCATCCTCGAAAGCCTTCTCTGGGAGCTTCCAGGCAACTGCGTCGGCCTGTCCACCCACTGAATCTGGAGGAACATGCCAACGAACAGCAGCCCAATCTGGACGATGATCCATCTTGGTGGGAGAGCGAATTCCGACTTGACGTCCAAAATGTTCATGGCTTTCCCGTGCCCCTCTAAGCCCGGCGAGACAGCCAAGAAATCGATCTGGGATTTGTTCCCAGGTTTCCGCTTGAGTTCGCACGTCCACACCTCTCCTGGGAAAGCGTCGCCCCCGAAAGTGTCGAGAGCCCGGATTCCCAAGGCACCCATCCACGAAACAATGAGTTGTTGCGTATTCCCGTTGCGGGAGCGAAGTGGGGGCCTGACGGCGGGCCCCGTGATACCACCGCAATCCCCAGGAAGCGTCACAGTGGCATCGAATCCAGCAGCCACCAGGTTTTGACCGAATTTGGAAACGCACTCCTCCCAAAACTCTACAGTCTCCTCCCTGGCCCCTGGCCTCATCGATAAGGTCGGGTCCCCAAAAAGTATCTTCGCAATTCCTTCCTCCTCCTCCTCCTCCTTCCCCTCCTCCTCCTCCTCCTCCTCCTCCCCCTCCTCCTCTTCCCTCCTTCTTCTTCTCCTCTCCCTCCTTTTCTTCTTCCTTCACCTCCTCCTCCTCCTCCTCATCTTCCTCCTCCTCCTTGCCCTGTGCAGCTGCATGGTACCGTACCCTGGTGCCACCGCCACCTAACGCGAAGGGCACATTGTCACTTGGAGTCGACACATCGGCGTTGGTGACAAGCAGGTTGCCGTTTTCTTGCCGTGGTGGAGGGTTCGATTCCCTCGCACCATGGGTTCCATGCGCAGGTGAGGCACACGCTTGCCCTCCTGGGTCCGCGTATCTATCTCGCAGTATTTAGGGTCGGCGCAGCGGGGTCCGAAGAAGCAGGACTTGCATCGTCTCCAGAAGTGGGTGTTTCGTTCACCGCAGCACCACCAGAGGCGGTACACCACCTCGGGGCAGGTGCCCGCAAGTGGGCCCGCGTCAAGCTCCTGTCCTATCCCAGAGCGCATTCTCGTTTTGGTGCGCCCTTCGGGGACGGCTTTCGTTGTCGTTTGGAACATGCTCCGACATGCTCCTCCTCCTCGTCCTCCTCTGCAGGTTGACAGCACTTACCTGACCTATGGCATCTCCGCCTTGTCCGTTTCCATCCAGGCCCCCGGGGATCGCCCAGTGGTTTTGAGTTTTGGCGACGCTTTTGGTTTTTGGGGGCTTGCCTCGTTTTTGGATGGGAGCTGCTTTCGTAGCTCTGTCCCTTAGGTTGCCAGGGCTGGCTGGGCGGCGGTGCAGCTCTGCCCCGCCCTGCTCCCCATTCGAGCCTCTATACAGAGCCCTCCCAGACCCCCGTGAGATGATTGGCAAAGCCGAGCGCTGTGCCGTCCTCCGTACTGTCTTGGGCGTTCACCCCCCGCACTCTCGTCTTCATCCCGCCTTCACCCAGCACTCATTCCACATTCATTCACTCATCTGGCCCTCATCCCGCCCCCCGCCCACATCACGCCCTCCAGCTCTCATCCCGCCCTCACCCCGCTCTCCCATCCTCCTCCCGCCCTCGTCCCGTCCTCATCCCGCCCGCATCCCGCCCTCATCCCGCCCTCTGCCCTCGTCCCGCCCTCATCCGATCTCCGCACTCATCCCGCCCGCATCCTCTCATCCAAAACCCGCCCTCATCCCGCCTTGACCCCGCCTTCCGCCCTCATCCCGCCCTCATCCCACCCTCCGCACTCATCCGCCCTCAGCCCGCACTCATCCCGCCCTCATCCGATCTCCGCACTCATCCCGCTCTCTGGCCCTCGTTCATCCGATCTCCACATTCATCCCGCAGTCATCCCGCCATCATCCGACCTCCGTACTCATCCCGCACTCATCCCGCCCTCATCCGATCTCCGCCCTCAGCCCGCACTCATTCCAGCCTCATCATCCGATCTCTGCACTCATTCCGTACTCCTTTGCACTCATCCCGCACTCATCCTATCTCAGCATTCCGCACTCATCCCGTGCTCATCCCGATCCACGCACTTATCCCGCACTCATTCCGCCCTCATTCCGCAGTCGCCCGATCTTCGCATTCCGCACTCATTCCACAGGCATCCCGATCCCCGCACTCATTCCGCAATCATTCCGCACTCATCCGATCTCCGCACTTATCCCGCACTCATTCCGCACATATCCGCCCTATACCACGGAATATGTGGCAGTGTCTCACGACATGTCAAGAGACACTGCCACGGATTCCGTGGCAAGGGACACCTTTGCACTCATTCCGCATTCATTCCGCATTCATCCGATGTTCGCACTTATTCCGCATTCATCCCGCACTCTTCCCGCGCCTCCAATATCTCCGCACTCACTCCGCACTCGCCCGATCTCGGCAATCATTGCGCATTCATTCCGCTCTCATCCCGCTCTCCGCACTCATTCCGCCCTCATTCCGCCTTCATTCCGCAACCACCCCGATGTCCGCACTCATTCCTCACTCATCCCGATCCCCGCGCTCATTCCGTACTCATTCCGCGCTTATCCGATCTCCGCACTCATTCCGCATTCATTCCGCATTCCCGCCCTCAAACGATTTCCGCACTCATTCCGCCTCCATTCCGCACTCGTCAGGTCTCCGCACTCATCCCGCACTCATTCCGCACTCATCCCGCACTCATCCGATCTCCGCACTCATTCCGCATGTATTCCGCACTCGGACGGATGAGTGCCAGATGAGTGCGGAATGAGTGTGGAGATCGGATGAGTGCGGAATGAATGTGCAGGATGAGTGCGGGATGAGCGCGGAGATCGGATGAGGGCAGGATGCTGGCGGGATGAGTACGGTGATCGGATGGAGGCGTGTAGAGTGCGGGATGAGTGCGGAAAACCAGATGGGGGTGGGATGAGGGCGGAATGAGTGCGGAAATCGGACGGATGCGGGCGATATGATGGCGGGATGAGGGTGGAGATCGGATGAGTGCGGGATGAAGGTGGACGGCTGGATGAGGGCGGATGGAGGGCGGGATGAGTGCGGGACGAGGGCGAGATGAGGGCGGGAGAGCGGGGGTGAGGCGGGATCAGGGCGAGAGAAGGGTGGGATGAGGGCGGGATGAGGGACGGATGAGGGCGGGATGAGGGCTGGAGGGTGGGATGAGTGGGGGATGATGAGATGAGCGCGGGATAGGGACCAGGGGATGACGGGAGGACAGGATGACGGCGGGGGGTGAGGGAGCGAGGGAATTCGTTATATCTTCTCTGGGGGCAGCACATGTTACCCGAATGGCAACGGTAAATGTAGCGGCGGCGACGGGGAGGGGGGGGGCACCACCAGAGCAGCATCAGGATCAGCAGGATTAGTAGAGAGGACGAGCACCAGAGCAGCAGGAGGAGCAGCAAGAGCACCAGAGAAGGAGCAGGAACAGCAGGAGGAGCACCACAGAAGCAAGAGAAGGACAGGCAGGAGGAGCAGCAGGAGCAGGAGGAGGAGCGGCGTGAGGAGCGGCAGGAGACGGAGCATGAGTACGGAGAGCAGAAGGAGCAACAGCAACAAAAGCAGCAGGAGGAGCAGCAGGAACGAGGGAGGAGCAGCGGCAGGAGGCACAGCAGGAGGAGCAACACGAAGAGCATCAGAAAAGCGGAGCAGCAGGAACACCCGAGCAGCAGCAGGCGTAGCATCAGCAGCAGCAGCATCAACAGCAGCAGCATCAGGAACAGTAGGAGGAGCAGAAGGAACAGTAGGAGGAGCACCGGAGGACGAGCACCACATTAGCATGATGATGAGGGGGCGCATGAGGAGGAGAGGCGAGATCATGAGGAGCACCAGAGCAGCAGAAGAAGTATGAGCACGAGGAGGAGCAGGAGGACCAGTAACAGCGTGGAAAAGGAGTAGCATGATAAGAAGGAACAACAGCAGCAGCAATACCAGGAGGAACAGCAGGATGAGCAGCAGGAGGAGCAGCAGGAGGAGCAGCAGGAGGAGCAAGCACTGGAGGAGGAACACCAGGAGGAGGAGGAGGAGGAGGAGGAGGAGGAAGAGGATCATCAGGAGGAGCAGCATGAGCAGGAGGAACACAGGAGGAGCAAGAGCATCAGGAGGAGGAACAGCAGCAGCAGGGAAGAGGAGCAGCAGGAGAAAAAGGGGGAGCAGCAGCGGGAGGATCAGCAAGATGAGCAGCAGGAGGAGCAATAGGAGGAACAGACGTATAATCAGGAGTGGCAAGAGCAGCAGCAGGGGGGGCAGCAGCAGAAGGAACATGAACACGATGAGCAGTATAATAAGAAACAGGAGGAGCAGCAAGAGCAGCAGCGGCAGGAGCAGCAGAAGGGGCAACGCAAGGAGGAACATCAGGGGCAGCAGCAGGAGCAGGAGGAGCAGGAGAAGCAGGAAGGAGGATCAGCAGCAATAACATTTTGGAGATGCAGAAGGAGCAGCATGAGGAGCAGCACCATGCTCAGCAATACGACCAGCAGGAGCAGCAGGAGTAGCGTCAGGAGAAGCAGCAGGAGAAACAGGAGGGGCAGCTTTTCGAGCAGCAGAAGGAGTAGCAAGAAGAGCAGCTGCAGGAACAGCAGGATCAGCAGCAGGAGCAACAGCAGGAGCAGCAGCAGTAGCAACATATAATGCACCAGAGAAGCACCAGAGGATGAGCAGGAGGAGCTCCAGAGCAGCAGGCGAAGCACCAAAGCAGCAGGAGGAGCAGCAGGCAGCAAGCAAGAACAGCACGAGGAGCAACACCGCATTCCTGGCGTCCCTGGCGTTCCAGGTGTTAGCGTGACTGGGGACGGGGGAAGGGGGGGAACATCTCATCCTCCTGGTGGGTACTGGGGAGGGGGGAAGGGGGGGAACGTCTCATCCTCCTGGTGGGTTCAAAGCAGTCTCAGGGTGGGATGACGGCGCGATAGTGGGATAAAGGCTGGATGAGGGCGGGCTGGCGGAATGTGGGCGAAATGGTGGAGGATGGCGGGCGTGCAGGAAGAGGGCGGGACACGGGGCCTTCCCGCCCTCATCCTGCCATCACTCCGATTCCAGCCATCATCGCACTATCCCGCCATCCCGCCAACAATAGTCGCCGTTCAATTGTATTCTGGATGTCAGAATGCGCCCAATAAGATGATTGGGCCTTGCCAGGTGCCGATTGCCGATGAACGAGCATGGTGAGACAGACCCAGCGCCCAGCATGCCACGCATCTATCTACATAGACAGAAGGATGGATGCATTCCATTGGCCGACCTCCAAGCCATCTTCCCTAGGATCACGTCTGGTGGACATCCTAGCCAGCTCCAAGAATGCCCTCTTGGCGCCCTCTCGTGATCCCCTTGGGCTCGCCGAGGCGCCCTAAGAGGGCTCCAAGTAGACTCAGTGCTCCAATGCGGTCCAAGTGTCACCCAAGATCTCCCCAGGATGCCACCCTAGGCTACCTCTGGCTACTCGAGGGTCTTGAGGGCCTCGTGGGCCGTCTTGCCGGCTTGGAATCTCGAGACGCCGAGAAAGCTAAGACCCTCCAGCCACCAATGACAAACCAATGGTTTTGGCCTCTCGGTGCCCTCTTCGGGCATCTTGGGGCTTCTTGGGCCGCGTTGAGGCCATCTTGGGGGTCTGGGGGCAATGTTGGGGTGACTTCGGGCCCTATTGGACCGACCGTCTTGGGAGTCCATTAGGGCTCTCTTGGGCTCTTTTGGGGCTCTCTTGGCCTCAGAGAGGTCTCGCAATAATACGCTCCCAAACCCCAGGAGCGCCCTGTTCTCGGGGCTGTGGGCCCTTGAAGGGTATCCGTTGGTATATACGGACTCTAACTTCACCCACTGCCTAGCGGCACGGCGCCGGATTAATGCGATTCGCAGGTGCACGCGCAGACAAGGCACACAATTGTCAAACTGACAAATTCAAGTGATCATATCAACTTCCATCGTCACCGTTGCAGGGAAACCCGCCGTCCAACACCTCTTCATCCCCTTGATTTGAAATTCTCTCAGGCGTTTCCTCATGGTTCTCCGCCTTGCAGCCTGTCCAGCTATCGCAGTCATTTTCGAAGGGTTCCGCGTAACACGAACGAGCTCGTGAAAGTTAAGAACCTCCTCCTCCTCCTCCTCCTCCTCCTCCTCCTCCTCCTACAGCTACTCCTACTCCTCCTCCTCCCCCTCCTCCTCTCCTCCTATCCTGCTCCGAGCGGCAGGGACAGGTTCTTTTCGGGCGGGGGGGCCTGATATGCTTCGGGAGGCTTCTGGATGCCTCCAGAGGTCGTCGGTCTTCGTTGCCGTCCATTGCGGTCGTCGTCGTCGTCGCCGCCGCCGCCGCCATCGTGGTCGTCGCCGCCGCCATCAGTGACTGGGCCGCCGCCGCCGTCGTTGTCGTCGTCGTCGTCGTCGTATTTGTCGCAGCCGCCGCCGTATTCGTCCCGCCGCCGCCGCCGCCGCCGCCGCCGCCGCCGCCGCCGTCGTCGTCGTCGTCGTCGTCGTCGTCGTCGTCGTCGTCGTCGTCGTCGTCGTCGTCGTCGTCGTCGCGTCGTCGTCGCGTCGTCGTTGCCCTCCAGGCGACGGCAGCCGAGCTCGAGGCCCCCGAGGCCCCTGAGGCGCCTGCCGGCAAGAAGGGGAAGAAGGGCCGGCGGAAGGACCGCCCCTGCCCATCACGTGCAGGAGGACCGCAAACTTCGAAGAGGAATTTCGTGGATCTCGATGTTTCTCGCAGTTTGGCCTCCGGGCTTTCGCCGCCGTCTTGGAGCCCTCCAGAGCTGTCTTGGAGCCCCAGGAGGGGCCCGGGGAGCGCCAGACCCCCCCTGAGGAGTTCGGCTGGGGGTCGTTGTATGCCTTGGGGTGCGGGGTCAAGCGCGCAGTTCGGGGTCCCTGGGGAGGGAAACATCTCACACGCCTGGAGCCTGGAGACCCATGAGGGGTCGGCGGATTTGGCTTTCATTTTGACCTCTGGGGGCCCATGTCGGTTCCTCCTCCTCGCCAGCTTCGTTCTCCTCCTCCCGCCCTCGTCCTCCTCCCTCCATCCCTCCCTGCCCTCCCCCCTCTCCCGCCTGTCTCCTTCCTCCCCTCTTCTCTCCTCCGACTTCGGCGCGTTCGGACCTTCAGGTGTGGTTTCTACCTCCTGCTCCTACCTGCTTCTCGTCCTTCTCCTCCTCCCTCCTCCTCCTCCTCCTCCTCCTCCTCTTCAGACGACTACTACGACTACTACGACTACTGCGACGACGACGACGACTACTACTACTACTGCTGCGACCACTGCTGCTGCTGCTGGTGCTGCTACTACGCGTGCTACTACTATTACTACGACTACGACTACTACTACGACTACGACTACGACTACGACTACGACTACGACTACTACTACTACTACTACTACTACTACTCTCTACTACTACTACTACTACTACTACTACTACTACTACTACTACTACTACTACTACTACTACTACGGCTACTACTATTACTATTAATATGTGTATTTGTGCGGGTCTACTTCTTCTTCTTCACTACTACTACTACTACTACTACTACTACTACTACTACTACTACTACTACTACTACTACTACTACTACTACTACTACTACTACTACTACTACGACGACTACTACTACTATTACTACTACCACTACTACTACTACTACTACTACTACTACTACTACTACTACTACTACTACTACTACTACTACTACTACTACTACTACTATACACTATCACTACCACTACCACTACCACTACCACTACCACTACCACTACCACTACCACTACCACTACCACTACCACTACTACTACTACTACTACTACTACTACTACTACTACTACTACTACTACTAGTTACTACTACTAAAACTACTACCTACTAGTACGACTACTGCTACAACTGCTACTTTTACTACGGCTGCTGCTGCTACTACTACCATTACTACTTCTACTACTACCACTGCTACCACTAGTAGTAGTAGTAGTAGTAATAGTAGTACTACTGCTTCTACTACTACTACTACTACTAGTACTACTACTAACACTACTATCAGTAGTAGTGTTACTAGTTCTACACCAGCAGCGACTAATACTGCTGCGACGACGACGACTACTACTAGTACTACAACTACTACAAATTCTATTACTACTGCGACTACTAAAACTATTACCTACTACTACCTGCTACTATTCCTGTCATTTCAACTACTTCGATCACACTACAACTACTACTACCTCTTGTAGTACTGCTACTACTACGACTAGCACCACCATCACCACCAGTATTACTTCAACTACGATTACTTCTACTACTACAGCTATTACTACTCATACGACTACTTCGACGACTGCTTTTGCTACTACTACGATTACTGCGAATACTACTACTACTACGACGACTACTACTACTACTATTACTACTACTATGCTTATATATGCATACTAATCGTATTACTACTACTACTACTGCTACTACTGCTACGGCTACTACTGCTACTACGGCTATTACTGCTACTACTACTGATGTTGCGACGATCACGGCTGCTACTACTACTACTGCCGCTGCTGCTGCTACTACTGTCGCCACTAGGACTACGACTACAATTCATGTCTATTGGAATTACTACCGCTACCACCACCACTACTACTTCTAATGCGACTACTACTGCTACTTGTACTACTAGCACTATCACTACTACGACTACTCCTACTTGTGCTACTATTACTTCTACTACTAAAGCTACTACTACGACTACGAATGTGACTACGACTACGACTTCGACTACGGCTACGACGGCGACGACGACGACTACTACTACTATTACTACTACTACTACGACTACTACTACTACTACTACTACTGCTACTACTACTACTACTACTGCCCACTACTATTACTACGACTACGATTACGGCTACTATTTCTACTACTACTACTACTACTACTACTATTATTACTACTACTACTACTAGTACTACTACTACTACTACTACTACTATCACTAGTACTACTACTAGTACTACTACAGGTAGTACGACGACGACTACTACGACTACTACTACTACTGCTACTAGTTTGACTACTTCTATTCCTACCACTACGCTTTCTACCGCTACTACTATCACGACTACTACCATTACTACTACTAGTGCTGCTGCAACAGCTCCTACTACTACTTCTACCACTACCACCACTACTACTACCATTACTACTACTACTACTACTACTACTACTACTACTACTACTACTACTACTACTACTACTACTACTACTACTACTACTACGACTACTACTACTACTACTACTACTACTACTACTACTACTACTACTACTACTACTACTACTACTACTACGACTACTACGACATACTACTACTACTACTACTACTACTACTACTACTACTACTACTACTACTACACTACTAACTACTACTACTACTACTACTACTACTACTACTACTACTTACTACTACTACTACTACTACTACTACTACTACTACTACTACTACTACTACTACTACTACTACTACTACTACTACTACTACTACTACTACTACTACTACTACTACTACTACTACGACTACTACTACTACTACTACTACTACTACTACTACTACTACTACTACTACTACTACTACTACTACTACTACTACTACTACTACTACTACTACTACTACTACTACTACTACTACTACTACTACTACTACTACTACTACTACTACTACTACTACTACTACTACTACTACTACTACTACTACTACTACTAACTACTACTACTACTACTACTACTACTACTACTACTACTACTACTACTACTACTACTACTTACTACTACTACTACTACTACTACTACTACTACTACTACTACTACTACTACTACTACTACTACTACTACTACTACTACTACTACTACTACTACTACTACTACTACTACTACTACTACTACTACTACTACTGCCACTACAAGTACCCACTGCAGGCGAACGGCAATGTCCACATGTCATACATAAAGGGCGGTGGCGGCAGGTGGCCCCTCCCCCTTCTTCTCCCTCCTCCTCTCCTCCTTTACCCTCCCCCTCCTTTCGTCCTTCCTCCTCCCTCCCTCCTCCTTCTCCTCCCTCTTCCCTCGTGCCCGTCGGCCCCCTTCTCGCCTGCTTCTCCCTGCTGCTCCGATCCTTTCTCCTCTTCCTCGGTATCCTCTGCCCTTTCCTCAACTTTCTTGCGGTCTCTAGCGTGGTCAGTATACGATCCTGCTTAGTCCGTTCACGGGATAATTGAAAGAGCAGTGTGGTTAGATATTAGCCCACCATCTTGGTCCCACGTTCACGTTTAGCCGCTGTCTGGCAGTCTTATAACCAACCTCCCTGGTTCCTCCCTGTTCTTCCCCCCTTTACCCAGGTGAGCGAGCCGCTTGGCATGATCGGCGGGAAATTAATGAGGAACACAGCGTCTTCCCCAGTCCATGCGCAGGGGGGAGCTACACTCTCTCTTCGATTCTGGGCGGCTCATTTGACCAGCCCCCCCTCCTCGAGCGCCCGACCGTCGCACATTTTCATACGTATGTGAAGGGCTGCGCCTTTTACCGCATACCCCCAGGGATGAGCCCTCGGGAGGCAGGATAGGGCGGAGGAGGAGGAGGAGGAGGAGGAGGGGGATCAGAGTCAACCCACGATGCGTCAGCGATGCTGCAATTCACCTTCCCGCCCCAGGTCCCGTCCTCATACGTCCCTGCACCCTGAACGCCTTCTTCGTCACTGCAAGAAGCGCCCTACAAGAAACGCCTCCCCTGAAAGTCGAGCACCGTATGGGCCGGCCATTTTTGCGAGGGCGCCGTTTTGAAAAGGAAGTGCCTGCATCATACCGGCGCGTAATGAGGAGTGCGAAAACATGGTCATCCGGTTCAACGATGCGTCGCATCCCCCCGCCCGTAATTATGAGACTCGAGGAGGCGTCAAGCGAGAGTTTCATTCTGAAAAGGGGGGCGCCGTCGATCCGTGCAGTGTTGTGTCGACATTCGTCTGTTGCCAGTTTCTTAACGCGAGCGCGCAGCGATCAGGCGAGGCGGCTGCGGACTGTTTAAACGAATGTGTGGGCGGCGTTTGGGCGAGCGCCGCGAGCGCCCCGCTCTGAAAAGGAGCCGCCCTCCATTCTTGAAGCCGTTGCGAAATGTTTGAAACTGTTACGCACGTTCAACGCGAGTGTGCGCCACGCAAAAGCCAGAGTCCTATTTTGAAAACCGTCCCCTTCATTCTTGAACTTGTTGCATCTTTGTCAGACGATGATGCGCGGCTCTAGAGCCCCATTTTGAAAACGGTCCGTCGTCCATCTTCGAAGCTGGTGCGAACTTCGTGCCTCAGGATTGCTCAGCGGCGAGGAAGTCCCAGGCGAATCGCCCGGCCTGCCCTACCGACGCGTCTGGGGGTGCGACGGGGATGAACGAGTTATTTAGAATCAAGAAGGACGGGGGCAGTGGGAGGAGGAGGAGGATGAGGAGGAGGTGGGAGAAGGAGGAGGCAGAGAAGTTTGGAAGAGGAGGGGGGGGATGAGGATCAGTGCAAACCCAAGAGTCACTGACGATATTGCAGTCAACCCTCTTTCTAACATCCCTTCTCACATGCCCCTAGAAGGATTCATTTCCACAGGGGCGTGCCCCGTTGGGAG